AACAGACCATGTCACGAGGCTCAAATCATCTCAAACATGATTTGATGTACTCAAATGACATCAATGACAATGACATCACAGTCACCAAGTCTCAATCCGATAGTGAACATTTAGAACAGGAGACTGGTTTAATGGATATACCATTGACAAATGTGCAGCAACTGTTTGATGCCATCATGTCAACATGGATCAAAATAGCTGAAGAATGTTTCCAGCAACTTTTTGAATCTGTGCTATAAAGAATTAAGTCATTTCCAAAGGCAAAATGGATCCAATCTGGCACTAGCAAGATACCTAATGAAGTGGCTGCTGAGTGGATTTTGACACTGACATACAGGTGTATAAGTTGTTATAGGTTTTGTACCAAGGTCATTTGGTTTATTATTTGGGCACGCTGCATAGTGTTGGTGGTGTTTCTAATATTTTGCCGCTCTTATGCATGTAACAGGCACCAACTTCACTGATATACACGCATAGGGTCTTGCACATTAGTTCATCAAAAACCAAACAAGATAGATGGCTATAGAAAAAAATAACTGTCTAAACAAAGCTAAATGATCATTAAAGTAACCTCAATAAAAAATAGAATGAAAACTCACCAAATTCCAGATGTGCCTGGTTGTTTGCCACAGCGTGAATTAATCCTATTGTTCCACAAGCGTTTCCAATAGTTTGCTTAATGAAGTAGACGTCTGGAGAAACCTGAGGCTGATCTTTGAGCTTCTCCTCCTCTTCTTGTTTAAATGCCTCATACTAGACAGACATGGCAGATGAGAGAAGAGACTGTTTAACAGTGTTTTCTAACCAAATGTAAAGTTGACAAATGGATAATGAAAATACATGACTTATAAATAACAGGTACCTTCTCTGTCACTGGAAAGAGGAGTAGCACCGCACACACTGGTCTTGGTACCATGCTGAGAAGCTCTGGATCCAACCCATACACATCCCCGAACTGCCAGGTTGGCTTCATACCCAGACAGCTAACAAACTACACACAAGCGGAGTGTAAATTCATGCAGATCAAAATCAACTTAGACATTTTAAATCTAAAATAAATACAATAGCTGGCTCTTAATTACCATCTGAAAATGAGATTTCTACCTAAAAGGTGAGAATATGTTTCTGTAACATTCGACTTTTGACAATTCAATGTAATTTAACTGGTATAGAATTAAATATTATGCCACTGTATGTCAGGAATCTAAACTTGAAAACTAAACTGTTAATATAATAGCAAAATAAGAAGAAGAACTTTTTACAGTAACACCGTTTTCAGGAAAGTATTTTTTGACACTTTGTGGAGAAAATAGAAATTTCCTTCATTATTTATTTCAACCAAAAACTCAATTGCTAAATGACACCTTCTGCAGCTAAAACAGTCAGTCAATCGGTCTATCAGCAAAAAATTAAAATAAAAAGTGATAAATAAAAAAAGAGCTGCCTTCATTAAGTGTATAATGTTTAATATTTGGTGAAAAATTATTTAGAAGGATGATGATTCGTGCTTGGAGGATGCAGTTGCGATTCTGTTTGATGTTTGTATTAAACAAGTGTTAAAAACTAAAAAAAAAACAAAAAAAACAATTTAAAAATAGTTTTTTGGTTAACCCCCCCCCCCCCAAACAAACAAACAAACAAACAAACTACAATATCCTACAATATCAGAGTTCACTCAAAATCTCTGTGTCCTGCGAATGACATCAAACACACCGCACTATCTGCAGACTGAAACAGCTGGAAAGTTGGATGAAAAGTATGAGGAAAATGACTGAACGTCTTAAAATTAGAAGCAGGGCAAGTTGACAAAACTTTAAACTTATCAGATTTCTTCACTCTTGTTTCCTGTCAGTCTGTTTACATGACATTATTACATCATATTATGCCTTGAACCTTTTAACAATAACATTAGGTGCAACACCGCTGCTGAGTAGGCCTTGCATCTCTCCGAACCGGTTTGGTTATTTGCTTTGACTACTCTATCGTGTTTTACGGAAAATATAAAAAGAAAACACTTACTTTAGTCATGACCTGAAATGAGAAGACACAAATGGAAAACGTTAATGAAAATGTTGTTGGGTTAGCAAAGCGGCGACAACGGCTTTAGCTTTTGTTCTCTCTGATAGCTTCAAGTTAGCTGCCTCTCACATGTTTGAGAATGAATAACTTCGATAAAACAACATGTTATGAGGAAAACCATGAAAACATACTTCTGGGTTTGACTCAAGAGGGAGCCAACGTGGGGAATCCATTTTGAAGCACAGCTAAGTGATGTTTTCCCGTTAGAGTAGCGCTGAGTCCGATTTACAATCAAATCTGTTTGACAGCTGCGATTCGCTTCCGCGTCTGGAGGGCGCACGTTGACATGTATGTGATCCGCGGGGGTGACTTGCCTTTATCAATAAACCATAACGACCCAAAGAACATGCCCAAAAGACTTGATAAGGCATGCGACATACATGGATGCATTAACATGTTTATTATAAATCGTTTAAATACAATTCTGTATACACAAAATGAACATTAAATCATGGTAATCCCACCATCTTCAGCCTCGGTGGACTATTCCTAGGGCTATGGGCGGAGCTTAGATAAAGGCATTTTTGCGCTCATGGATGGACGATGTTTAAGTATATTCCCCGATATACCATCTAACTGACATAATATGACACTGGTCATTGATTTTTTTAATGATCTAACCACCATAATAATATTAATAAAAATAATGAACAACAAGAACCACACTCAATTAAATTATTTCATTTTTAAATTATTAATCTAAGTGTTATTTTTACCAGTAGGGGGCGTTGTTGGCCATGAATTCAATCGCTAAAGAAAACGACAACAAAACCGGATAAATAACAGAAAGAACAAAAATATTTTTCTTTGTGTGGTTATAGTTAGTCAACAAGGTTTCATAACATACCTTTAAATATTGATTCATAACACTTTGGTGGTATACCTTCATCGTCGTACTTTTTGTGAATTATGCCAAAACTGAAACCATCATGTGAGGAAAACAATTTTTTGTTGGATGTATTTCTAGATTTTTTTAAGTAGGTAGTAAGTTTTTATTAATGTATATTATTTTTGTATTATTGTTTTTATTAGTAGTATTTTATTCAGTAATCTTTTGTTAAAGAGTTTAACTGACTGTAATTACATGGTAATGACTGTGTGTTATAAGCTTAGTGGTCTGATGATGTATTTTTGTTTCTCTTTGACCCTATATTTTCTCCTAGTCCCCCATCTGAACTATTTGGCAGGGATTCAAAACAACTGTTCATCGACCTCAAGAGTGCTGAAGAAGCTTACTGAACTTAAGGGGATCAATACATCAGAGACCTAGGCAGCAAATCATCAAGACAACATGATTAAACTGGTGAGTGTGTAAGACTTCGGTCTGTTGAAGCTTTCAACCCTTTAGTTTGATTTATTGATATTGTACTAAGAAATATAACACTCTGCAATAAAGCCTTGAGCCACCACTTACTTTTTCATATTTTGCTTCCAGTGAGCCAGACTTTGGTGTATTCTTAAGTGCTTTTGAGCCATAGTTCTCCAGGCATTTTTTGGACATAGTCTGCTTTATGAATTATTTTCAGTCCAGTCCTTGTACACTGACCATTTTCAGAGGAGTGATGGTTTGTTAAACCACTTAAACAGATTCATTTTTTGTTGTTGTACATATACAATGACAATAAAGCACTATTCTATCCACCACCAGATGAACAGTATCTGAAAGTTATGTCCTTAATAAATAGGGAAAAAATCCAGAAAAGACTTGACATAGGACCTGGGAGATGCATTTGGCCCTTCAGTTGATCCATCTACTGTTTGCAGATCCCTCATGAGAAATGATCTCAGAGAAAGAGTGGCTGTCAAAAAGCCATATAAGAAAGAGAAACAGAGAGAAAAGACAGAGGGATACCAAACTACACAAGAACTGTGGCAACAGGTCTTATAAGGTGATGAATCCTAATTTGAACTGCTTTGTTCAAATCTTTGTCGTTATGTATGGATGAGGTCAAGAGAGAGGCATCAATACCCACACTGTGAGGTTAAAACATTATAGTTTGGGTCTGCCTTTCATCAACTGGTGATGGGAATATTGTCAAAATCGATGAAATTATGAACACAGAAAAGTACCATCAGATTTTACATTACACTCTGGAAAGCATCTGACTGGCACCAGCTTAATTTTTTTGCATGACCATGATCCTGAATACACTGCCATTGCAGTAAAAGTGTACCTGGATAGAAAAACATACAAATGACCACTATCAGTCATAGACTAGCCCCTGTAGTGCTCAGACCTCAACATTATTGAAGCAGTGTAGGAACACCTTGGCAACATGCAAAGCCTAAAGAACTATTCCTACGGACTACTTTAAGAAATGACAAGAAAATGCATGTAACAGAAGTGATTATACCAAATATTGAATTTCAGATGTGGTAGAATTGTGCATAGCTGTTCAAAACTTCAAAGACTTTTCTCATGAGTTCATTGAAATAAGTTCATTTTAACTTTTGTACTCAAATGAATGAATGAATTCTTAATTGATAAACTTCAGTAGAATAGTACTGAAGACAACTGGATATTTATTAGGGCGTTCAGTTAAAAAAATGAGCAAACATGTTTTTAATAGGCTATTTTGCAGGGAGGGAGAGGAGGACAGAAATCTGTCGCAGAAATACAACTATATTGACGATAAATCAGAGATTTAACCTAGCAGGGCTTTTAATTAGACCAGCCACTTTGACAGATTTTCTTTTTTTTTTTACCACTTATCTAATTCTCTTGAAATCAGTGATTGAGGACTAGAAATAATATTGATTGGTCATTTCCCCAAATAAAATCCTGACCATTTAGAGTCAATGAGCCACCTCTCCGGCTGACTCCGCAAAAGACTAGAACAATAAACTTCTGCTACAGCAGATGGCGCTATGCACCGTTTACAGTGATTTGCTATAAGCTAATAAAAACCAAAGAAGAAGACTTCTTTTTTTTTTTTTAAGGAAGGAGCGTTAGTGGACAGAATTGACGTAGAATAGCTGGTTAGTTGATCTAAGAAGCCGATTTATTCATAACTACTTTTTTTTTTAATAATACAATAATTTCGTTAAACGTTTTCTGAAATTTCCAAGGCAATCTGTTCGGTGGTCAAATTTAGCGAGAAAGTCGCTAATTTGGCTGCGCTAATACTGTGGTCAAACCCAGAGCCTGACAGAGAGGATGCCAGCAGCAGAGGAGTCATATGGTGGGTTCGCATTACTCCACTTCAGTAGAATGTTGTTTAAATGGCAATTAAGAAGAATAGATTAGGCTTTCACCCAGGAAATATGTGCTAATTTAGCCACTCCATAGCATTAACTTAACACCGTTGTAACCACAGAGACTTCCTGTCTTTCCCCCACTTATATTTGACTCCAGCATCTGACTCCTAATGCTTAAAAGCCCTTAACACCTTTTTAATGAATGCTACTTTAACATACATGCAGAAATACACAAATGTTTACAGCTCAATAATAAAGCCAAAATAAGATGTTTTAAAAGCTAAATGAACCTTGCCCTCTTGTATTAGTTATTACATGTATTATTATTATTTTTTTTTAATCTTTGTTTACCCACTGTTATTTGACAAATCACTATGCAAGGTTCTTCAGGTAAGGCCTATACTATATACTATATTATTTACTATATTTATTTCCGGGTTACATAATTTATATCATCATGCTATTGCAGTTGTGATTGCCTGCTCTTGGGAAAAGAAAGAAAACAAAAAGCATTAAGAAGACACAAGTACTATCATTAGACTCCCATGATGCCTGTGACTGCATTAAAAAGAAGTATGGAAAACCTTGTGATAAACAAATTGTTTCACTTCTGTATTCAAGGCATCAACAAAGTTGTGGACAACATATGCAGGATTTCTCCAGATCTGTTAGCAGATGTGGTGAGTGTATCTGTCCTTGGTTGTGTATGTTACTATACAGGTGGAAAAAAGTGGCAGCTAGGAAAACAGAGTAGACTTAAATAGCAGTTACAGTGACAGCTGCAGACAACCCTCCTTCTGCAACTCTTCCCATTTCTGTTCTGAGTCTTTCCCATTACTTGAGCACCACGTACAGCTACTTGTAAATATGAGTCTTTTATTTAAATTGTTTTGGGGCTGTTTCAATAGTTTCACTGCCACAGGCTCAGACTGGATTATGAAACTGCAACTTAACTTAAACAGTTGTGCAACTTCAAAACACTGCCTTTATAACTCGCTACTGGAGGATGTTATTGTTGACCCAAATAGCGCTCATTTCAGGGCTATTAGCAACCACTGTGCACAAGTACCATAGGATGTGGTGTAGCTGTGGAGGCTATGCTGCAGTTCTGATAGCTAATCTTCAATAATCTCCACAGTGTCAGCACGTACTGACTTATCTTCAAGGGCAGAAGAGAGGAGTAGATTCAGCTGAAATTTCTGATGTGAGTCACCCTTTCTTTAGAATACATTTGACTTATAATAACCTATCCTCCCAAATTCCTCTTTTAAGACCTTTTCTGGGGTTTTTTTGTTTGTTTTTTTGTGGGCAGAGATTTCAGAGAGCCGAAGTGAGACTTGATCATGAAGCTCTGCAGGACATGATCAGATTTCTCTTGCTAACATTCCGGTATTTTTCCCACATTTCTTTTCAATTTTTTATAAAGATCTGAATGTAGTTTCTGAATTTGATAACTGTGTCTTCCATGTTGCATACATTTGTTTCTTACATAGCACACTTAAAAAGGCCAAATTATACATAAAGTAGGATGTTGTCCTACTATAGGCTGTGATAGTAGTGGGTTTTTTTGCTAGGTCAGCTGGAAAGAGCAACATCTCTGGGGATGAACTTGTGTCAAAGCTGGAAGAAGGCTCTACCAAGTGGACCAAAGCTTCCCTTCAGGTCTTGCATAAGTTGTGGAGTGAATATGGTGTGTCAGTCCACACTCAACAAGAGGCCCAGGCCATGCTCAGCATCGGTCAGGTTTGTCCAAGTTTAATGAAATAAAGTATATATATTCTGCCCCCCTGAACATATAACTTCTCGTTTTTGCCTCTTCTCTTTCAAAACTGATGGAACTTTGTTTTGCCTTAGTTGGTGGACATGCAGTGGAAGCTTGGCATGGCAGTGAGCTCAGACACCTGTCGATCTCTCAACTCCCCATTTGTGTGTCTGCTGCTGAAGATTGTTGAGCCTTCAGGACAAATCTGTCAGCGGTCTTTTGAGATGACCATCCCACAGTTCCAGGTTTTGTATTTTGTTTTTCATGTGAATGCAGTGTTGTTGGTGTTATTTATTCATGATATTTTATCCCTCTCCTACTTCTTCTTTCTGCAGAACTTCTACAAACAGTTCAAGGAGATGGCAGCTGTTATGGAGACTGTATGATTGTTAGCACACCTAAGTGCTTGTTACAGTTATACCAGGTTTATGTGCAACTAACGGAAGAAACTTTGACATAAGTGTTTATTTGCTGGTTGTCTCGAAACACCAACTCTCAGTTTTGTGCTTGTATTTTTCCACAGATTGCGTAACCTCCCACTTGATAATACTTTTAGGATGTCTAGCCTTGTGTTAGCTTAGGGTTATGCATTATATATTTAAACTGCTAAGCCAGCAAAATCTGACTAATATATGTGTTGCCAAATGTGTGTGATGTGATTCAGTCTGTAATAAATTTCAGTTTGCCTGTGAGTGTGTATGTTTACACTAAACTACCCCCCACTCCAGAAATGAAAACAATACAGTGACCTAATCTGTTATATTTTTGTCAGGAGTAGGAGACTGTAGTAGCCCACTATACAGCAAATTACATACTAATATATATTCAAATAATATTACATGTAATATTGATTTGTCTTTTTGTAGAGCATGTGATGTAAAATGGTCCAACTTTTTAATTGTTGCAGTTGTCTTAGAAGTCTGTTTCTATCAGATAACTTAAGTACTTTTACTCCTCCTCCTGTACACGGTGGAATGAGGTAACACATTTAATGTCTGTAACTAAGGCTTTTAAAAATAGATTCAGTGGTTAATTTTCTCACTAATATTTCACCTGTTTTTGGAAGCCTGCAAAATACAACAATTTAATACGTTTTACAAAAGTAAATTTATGCAAACCATAGCAAATCAAGATCGAATAGATGCTCTTAAAATGAACACATCATTACTGGTTATTAGTTACACCTTTTTAGTACTGGTTAGACCACCTTTTTCCTTCAGAATTACCTTAATTCCTCCAGAATTACCTTAATTCCTCATGGCATGGATTCAACAAGATGCTGAAAATATTCCCTAGTGATTTCGGTCCATGTTAGCATCACACAGTTGCTGCAGATTTGCCAGCTGTGTATCCATGAGACCAACTTCCTGTCCACCACATTCCAAGGGTGCTTTATTAGATTGTGATCTGGTGACTTGTGGAGGCCATTTGAGTGCAGTAAACCTACTGACATGTTCAAGAAACCAGTTTGAGATGGTTTGAACTTAATGACATGTCATGTTATGTTATCTTGCTGGAATCAGCCATCAGAAGAGGCATACACTGTTGTCATAAAGGGATGGACATGGTTACAGTACAATACTCGGGTTGGTTAAGGTGTTTAAATGATATTCAGTTGGTACTAAAGGGCCTCAAGTATACAAAAAAATATTACCCACATCATTACAACACCAACACCAACTTGAATCTGTGATACAAAATAGGATGGATCCATACCTTCATGTTGTTTATCCCAAATTTAAGTAACTGTTGCCTTCCTATCAAGCTTGGTCCCCCCCCCCCCCCAAAATACAACAGCTGCTCATTAGATGTTTTCTCTGTTTCAGATCATTCTCTGTAAACCTTAGAAACAGTTGTGTTGGAAAATCCCTGTATATCAGCAATTTCTGAAAGACCAGTCAGACCAGCCTGTCTGGCACCAACAAGCATGCCACAGTAAAAGTCACTTAAATCCCTGTTTTCCTCCATTCCAACGCTCAGTTTGAAATTCAGCAGGTCATCTTGACCATGTCTATGTGCCTATTGTGTTGCCATCTGTTTGATTAGATATTTGTATTAACAAGCAGATGAACAGGTGTACCTTGAAAATTGTGAATGTGCAGAGCAGCTTTGTCTTCTATCCCTCCTAATAATCTCATGACCCATGACATTCTTCTGGTGACCGACCCCTACTTTGGGAACCACTAGACTAAAATATCTAGCAACTACCAAGCCTGGACCAGCTATTTGTGGACCGATGGGTGGGCATAAACAATCGAACAGCTTCTGATAACGTTTGTAGAGAGTGAGAACTTTTACCTTTTTTAAAAAATATTTTGAATAATTAAGCATTTTAGACCGCTGCTTCAGTCAGTATGAACACCCACCATTGCAGTGGTGCAGTAAGTAATAATTGGAGTTAAGAATGAACTGTTATTTGAATGAATATTTCAACTTTTATAAGTGAGCCATTACACACTTCTTATTAGTAGACAATGAAATCCTACAAACTGGTTCAAGAACTCACAAAAAAGAAATAAAACTTACATTTTGGTATGCTTTTATGGTAAAGTAGTAGTTTTAGAAGTAACGTTTGATCCCTGGGCCTTCAAAGATACTATAAAATGATTATGCATTCCTTAGATTTCAAGATATTTCAAGATAGTTTAACTGTGACGCACTGCAGTCTATGGATTCTGAATGTTATTTGCAATCGAATCCAATTAAAGTACAACTTATGGTATTCACCGAGGATCCGGGATCAGCTGTGTATCTATTCTGCACGCATCTACATTTAAAGTAGGTACACACCATCAGCGCCGGGGTTGTTTGGTTGTAGAGCTCCTGGCTACCGCTTCATTGGTGAGTTTATATATGGCTAAGGTACTATTTTGGGGATAGGCGGATTGCTCGGATATTATAGCGTTAAGTTGAGGGGAAGTCTTCCTGTGCATAAAGCACCACATATGATTATGTATGTCGAGTAGTGGTGGGACTGAGATTAACCTACTTGTGAACAGCAGGGACTCACTTTGCTTAGCAAGAAAAACAAATTGCACATGTTATCGAAACATAATATTTTGCAACCTGATGGAGGCGGTCGGCAGGTAGAATTACAACCAACGGGAGCTGGGACCAAGGGCACTTGTGCCACGGGGGGCTGAAAACACATCTCACGGTGCCACGAAGAAAGAACATTTCCAGGTAAAACTTAATGTACTGTGGAGAAAGGCGGAGCCTCGTCCTGTCACGTTTCGCACAGCGGCTTTTCGCTGCCCACTCCTCCAGCACATGGGATGGATGGGCGGTTCGTCAGAGGCGCGCAGCCGCTCCGCCTCCGAGGCGTTGTGGAAGAAAGGATCACTGACGGGAGACTGCGCCGCAAGACGATAAACAAGCATCAGTGTCTGTATTTTATTGTTCATCTGCAGAGAGAAATCGCAACGGTGGCAAAGAAGCGTTTGTGCACTAGGATTTCAGGACCGGGACGTTGGAAATGCGCCGCCCTGCGTGCGCATTCGGAGACAACGTCTAACGCGTCAAAGAAATCAGATTTCTCTGGGTGACTTGTGTTTACACGGGAGCCAACCAAAGCCACGTTTTTGGCAAGCTATCTTGGTTGGGACAGGATAGTACAGGGGTGTTTAGCGCTTGGTTCTCCGCCTAAGCAAACAGTGGAGCGGAGCAGGGAGTAAAACAGCGAATAGACAGCACTCGAAGTTCTTTTTTTTTTTTTAAATCCTTGAGGTAAAAACTGAACATCATGGAGAGTTGCAGCTGATCGAAAGGGCGAGCACATGTTGGAGGTTTGTTTAAGCGCTGCGTAAACTTTGTGTATGGATGTGGACATGGAAAGTGTTGCAAACTAAACACAACTACAGCTAGCCTCGGTGGCAAGAGGGAAAGATATATTGATAGTGTTTTATTTTTGTTTTGGGGTTGTTGTTTTTTTGGAAGTAGGATTTGATCTGTGTTGTTGTCATCGAGTTTCGGGCGAAAAGTCTGCTGGGTCAACATGGAGAGTCACGACGAGAAGGAGAAGTCGGACAAGAGGTTCGCCCTCACTTACATCGGCTGGTCCCTGCTGGACAGGCGGACCACCCTACCCATGCTGCCGTGGCTGGTGGCCGAGATCCGCAGGCGGTGCGAGAAAGGCGACTGCGGCCCTGTGATGCAGCCCAGGGAAGTTCATCTGGTCCTCTGCCCCCCCTTCATCCGATGTGTCCCCACCACCAGCAACAACTCCTCAGTGTTCATATTCGAGCACAAAGCACAGCTCATATCTCGCTTCATTCACAACAGCAATGACCTCACCTATTTTGCCTATCTCCTGCGGGGCCAGCCCGACAACCCCGAGTCCGAGATGTCCTGTCACGTCTTTAAGGCCTGCGACCCCAACCAGGTAGGCCTGCTCCTCTCTGCACAGCAGTTTTAATTGCCATGAGCATGAATGGACCAAAACTCAGGCCAAAAAAAAGTAACGTGGTGATCCATTAGAAACACACAAACACACTTATAAAAAAGCTTTAAATAATATTTTTTTTACACCTAAGAAGATCTGAAGCAAGTATCCAGTAGCCTGCTCAGAGTTTAGCTTAAACAATAACAGCCAGTCGCTGTGATCTTATCATAATATTCCAAGGGGATTACAAATCAAACGTCCTGAGTATATGTGGCTAAATTAAATATGATGTCATGGTGAGGCAAACTATTTTTTTAAGGGTGGACTGATCCTGTCATTAGCTGTAAACTCAAAAACAATGGGATGTCCAACTAAGCCTGAAGTGAAATGTCTCCAAGGTGAAAGCTGTATAATTTAATCTCAACCTCGCACAATATTTGATCAGTCCTTGGTCTAAATGTGTTTGTTTTGGGATTAAGTATTTAGGCCACTAGATGGTGGGCATGACAAACCCAGTACTCTGGTTTTTTTTGTTTAAAAAAAAAAAAAAAAAAAAAAGCTAAATAAAAATAAGTAATATTTAATCTGCCAGAGGATTTATTTAGAAAGCGTTCAATGTGGCAAAAAAAAAAAAAAAAAAAAAGGTTAATCCATCCCTGGCCTTTCCCTGAGCTTAAGTACAGTGGCCCTGAAGCTCAGTGCAACAGAGCTTAAGAAAAGACATATGGTTTCACCAATTTTGCACCACGAAGGGAAAACGATAGCTGAAAGCTCCCATTATAGAGTGGCATTTTCTGTCTTTGTGTTGGTTTATCCCTTTTGCAGCGTCATGTGTCAGACTGGAGAAGATGGGACTGTGTTTCCTGAAGTTGCAGTGCTCGGCGCTCTCGGGGCCGCTGTAGATCTGACATGTGTTTGGTGTCTGTGGTGTGACAACAACTGAATACAATATTGAGTCAGCACATTCACTTGGCGATCAGCATGTCACTCTTGAGTAATAACTGAAATAAACAGCCAGAAATCAGGAACGTGGGAGTCTGTGATTGAATATATATTTGTAGTAATCCTTTCTGCTCTTTTCTGAAAAGCAGTTCATAGCATATTTTTTAGGAAGTTGCTACACTCAAGAGCCTACCCTACTACCCTAGTGTTTATCTGAGTTATCTTTTCTCTGATTTGGCAGTACAGAATGTTATTTATACAAGATTGTTAAACAAACGCAGTTTAATCTTGGTGCCACCTCAATTCCTAATTCCATGCAACCCATTCTGAAGTCTAACATCCCTACTCATGCTAATCCTGTTTTCCCAC